CAGCCAACCCGTCAGTTTTACAGTGTGCATGTCTTGGATTTCTCAGCGGTGGTTGGGTTTCCTAATTTACTCTTGGCCACAGAGATCAAGGCACGGACTCACTTTCTCCTGCTTTGAACAAACCAGGAAAAACAGACAAATTACAGGCTTCCATGTTGAGCTCCTAACAGTCTTGTAATAGTCAGCGCAGCAAACCGAGCCCGGTTTCAGGATGCCTCGACTCGATCACTCGCCTGTGTGGATGAGCTTGTGGGTCTCCAGAGTCGTCCTCTCGCTGAACGTCTTTCCGCACAACTCGCACATGAAGTCCTTTATACCTGCAGACACAGCGACACGAGTCGACAGTCACACAATACTGCCCGTCAGTCTCACTTAGAGGGAAAACGCTTGCAAGCTAAACAAATCAATAGTCACGTCTGTTCATGAGACCATTGATATTGACTTACGTGTCATCGAGCCTTTCATGCAGCTGCGACATCGTGACTCACCTGTATGTCTCTTGTAGTGTTTCAACATGTTGACCTTTTGGGCAAACTTGCGGTTGCATTCTTTACACTCGTACTCTTTGATGCCCTTGTGAAGCTTCATGTGGTGCCTGAGAGCGTGTTTGGTCTTCATGCCTGTGCAGGAGAATATTGACACAGGATCACAATGATTTAAACGCACAACGTCCGACAGGCTGTTTACACAGGGAGAGGGAAAAGTAACGCAGAAGCGAGGTCCTGACCTTTCCCACACTCTGCACACAGGTAGTCTCGGTTGTCGTCGTGAACCCTGAGGTGCTCCTTCAGCATGTCCTTCCTCGCGAATGACTTGCCGCACTTATCGCAGCCGTGGCTCTTCACCCCTGGATGATCACAAGACAGTCGGTTAACATTACAGAAAGATAAAACAGATTTTTCTGTGCCGCTACCTGTCTGACTCTCTAAACCAGGGGTGCTCAATCCTGGTCACATGATCAGGATGGTTATCAGGCTTCTGCAGAGCTTGATGATGAGCTAAACATTTGAATCAGGTGTGTTGGAAGAGGGAAACATCTAAAACATGCTGGATAGGGGCTCTTGAGGACCAGGATTGAGCACCCCTGCTCTAAACACTGTGCTTTTAACTCCGACACAAGTAGCGATGCATCACTTTACGGATGTGACGTTATAAAACACATGAAACGGTCGTAAAATACAATAAATTGGTTAAAAAACAAAAAGTGACCCCCAACATCTTTTTCTCTTCTCTTTGGGATTACCCATCATATCTCCCGTGGTAATAAGTGATAGCAGCTCCACTCTTAAAGGCCCAAATAGGTTTAATTTTTACTAATAAGGAAGAAGGAGGGTCACTTCCATGTTCTTCATGGAAACCTCAAATCATCCTGGACACAGCTGGGTGTTCCAACAAGACAAACACATAAAGAAATGGTTAAATCAGGCTAGAATTAAGGTTTTTAGACGAGTCTCCTCAAAGTCCTGACTTAAACCCAATCAGGAACAGGTGAAGAAGAAACAAGTCTGAGAGCCAACACTTTTAGCACCAAGTCTACCAAAAGGAGGGTCGAAGATAGAACCAGAAGCTGGTGGACCGCTACTAAACGTGTCTTACTGAGGTAAAGCAATGGACAGAGGACGTTTAACCAAACAGTAGACATTTTTTTCATCCAGCAGATTTTGTCATATCCCGATCTATTAAAGAATCAAAATGCATGGTTGTAAATTGAGAGTTATAGGAGTCACTGGAAGCTCAAGACTGCCATTAAACACACAGTCTTTACAAGTGTGTTTAAACAACTGGTCACACAACCTAGCTGAAGACAAAGCAGTCACCAGTTAAAGGCTCCTTGTGCTGATAAAGTCATGAAGAATCAGACAGAACCGGTGCAATGTGATCATACACATCCTGTTAACTCGTCTATAGATGTTAACTCCCAGAATAACAACGCGTAAGAACACAGAAAACCACACATCTAAATCTGGACGCCGCAGCAGTAGATGATATTAGATTGTTGCTTTGAGGTTTCGTGAGCTAAGTGGGTCACGTGGACTTTGTAAAGTATTCATGCATTTCACCAAATCAGACTTTTTCAAATTGGTGTTCCGTCTCTAAACTTAGACCCCGAAGAAATGTGATGCTTCAGGGTCACGATGAGACACGAGACAAACGTTTAACCCAGAGTGCTCCTCACCAGTGTGGATGATCTTGTGCCTTTCCAGGTTACCGATGCTATTGAAGATCCGGCCACATATTTCACACGGATGGATGTACCTTTGGACAGAGAAGGAGATTTGAAACGATTACGCTTGATTCATCCTGCAGCTTGTTTATTTTACTCTGCAAGGACCTTTTCCCATTTATGTGGTGTGAAAAAAAGCTTTAGCAGCAGCACAAAACAGACCTTAGCTGACATTTCTGTCTCCATCCTCACCCAGAATTTTAGCTTTGATTCAGAAACACAAGGGCTAAATGTGTTTTTTTTCTTCCTGCAGTCTTACTTCTGCACTGCAGGGTCGGGCAGCTGCTCTCTGTGGATGACCAGGTGAGCGTTGTAGGTGGCTTTCAGAGCGAAGCGCCGGTTGCAGATCCCGCAGCCGTAGCCTCGCTCCTTGTGCAGCTCCATGATGTGCTTCAGGTACTCTTTGCCTTTTGCAAACGATAGCTGGAGACACACAAGTAAGCAGGTCACCAGGACATGTGCTTCTCCAGGATGCAGGTTCTTATATCACTCCTTCTCGCCCATTCGAAGGCCTTCTATATCTGTCCGCTATAGTTTGAAAGAATCAACTTGCACAGCAGCACTCGGCTCAAGAACAAAGGCTGGAAACCTACTTGGCATTTCTTGCAGTTGTATTTGTGGTGCTCGGGATCGTCTTCCTCGTCGTCGTCGTCGCTTTCGTCGCTGTCGCCCGCCGAGATGCCGATCTTCTTGATGAAGCCCTCCCTCTCCTGCTCGTCCATTAAGGCTATGTCCTGGAACAAACACGGCTCTTTGATTAAAATCACCCCCCGGAGGAAAGCTATTTTAATGAAACGGGACGGGAAGGTGCCGTTCATTAACTATAGTGACATCTACTGCTTTGTCATCCAACGTGGTGGTGAGTTCTGGGCTGTTTGTTTTTTTAATCTTATATTCAAAAACCCTTTTTATCAAAAATACTTCAGCTCTGCTCTGGGTTTACAGCCAAGGAGACATCTATGGAAATGAGTTAGGGAGGCTGAGGGAAGAATAAAACATACAAAAGCAATGAAATGAATGCAACATGGTTCGATGTTGTTGGAAAATAATATATAATATAAAAAATATATCTAAAGTATGTGCAGTCACCATTTTTTGTCCAGCACTGGTAAAAACTACGAGCCCTTTACAACTTGTAGAATATGTTGATTACTGTGTTTTAAGGCTTTTTTGAAATGAAGAATAATTCTTTTATGATGGCAGCAGAACTTTATTTTACTGCACAAATACATATTTAAGATCTCTCTATTTCTAGCCCTGGTTGTTTCCATAGTAGACTTTATACTGCAGTAATAAATGAGCTCACGGTCACTTAAAACATGACCAAAGCAAAAAAACAAAACACCCAAAGCTGCTTGAGGCTCAGAGGGTTTAACACTCATGATAAAAGAGCAGAAAACCTCTCAGGTGATCCAGCAAAAGCACCAACATCGTTCCAGTATCACCTTGAAGTGCACGTGAATGTGATCTCGGAGGACGTCCACGCGGAAGAACTTGCGGCCGCAGATCTCGCAGGTGTACTTCTTATCGCCGTGAGTCAACAGATGCTTGTTCATGTTACTCCTGCAGGAGAACACCTGAGCACACAAACACACATTGTGCAGCACACAGGTCACTGATGGAGCACCTTCCTGGTGAGCGGGCGTTTGACCCGCTGCCGTAAGTGCCATGAATCCCATCTGCTGCTCCTCAGAGCGCTCACCTTGCCGCAGATGGGACAGGGTGAAGGCTCCTTCCTGTACTTGGTCCCTTCTTCTCCGTTCGCCTCCAGCTCCTCTCTCTTCATGTGCTTTGGTCCTGCCCACATGGACAACGGTTTAGTTCAGCAAAAGCTTAAAGTGCCAGCAGATGAAACATAGTGAGATGCAGCTAAAGGTATCACTTAAGGCATCAAAACAACCACACACACTTCGAATCACCACAGACTGGTTAGTTACGGACTTCTATAATCAATTTGAAAACATATCAGACATCTACAGAGAACCTGCTGGACTGGTGACCGTCTCAGCAGCTCTCCATCCGTTAGGCCTGTTGAGCTTCCGGCACTGCTCATCACCTGCTAATGATGAAGCACGGTGGCGGCAGCATCATGCTATGAGGTGCTTACTCAGTAGCAGGGACGGGGTCAGAACAGGGGGAATTATGAACGTCGCCAAATATAGAGATGTACTTAAAGAAAACTCGTTCCAGAGTCAGAGACCTGAGACTGGAGTAATGGTTCACCTTTCAGCATGAAAGGAAAGGAAACAGCCAAGACGACTCCGGGATGTGTTCAGGACAAATCTCCGACTGTCCCTGAGCAGCCACGCCTTAAGAGTGCATCCACGATAGGACCAGGCGGGGGCGGCACAAGCTCTCTCACCGATTTCCATGAAACTTGTGTGAAGTTTGAAGAGGTCCACCCAAAACTACTTCAGTCTAAGTTTAAGGAAATTTGGTCAAACCGGGGGGAGTTGGTCGCCCAAAAATGACCAAAAATCACCTTAAAAAATGGTCAAAAGCATAAAGCTCCACTGCTATAAGAATTAAACCAAATCTTCATCTTTTCAGTGAATGTTATCCTACCCAAGGACAATTTATTGTTAATGTTTCATTCTCCTACGACTAGTTCTATGTCAGCCAAGACTGCCCCTCTCACCCAATAGTGAAAACTGTTAAAATACCCAAAGTCGAGGCCAAAATATATCCAGTGCCAGAGCATATCGTCTAAAAGGTGGGACTTCATACCAACGCCTCCCTGGGGAGGTGTTCCGGGCGCGTCCCACCGGGAGGAGGCCTCGGTGAAGACCTAGGACACGCTGGAGAGATTATGTCTCTCGACTGGCCTGGTAACACCTAGGGGTCCCCCCGGAAGAGCTGGAGGAGGTGTGTGCAGATCGGGAAGTCTGGGCGGCTTTGCTAAGGCTGCTGCCTCCGCGACCCGACTACGGATAAAGCGGAAGAAGATGGATGGATGGATGGATGGAGGATTGCAAATATTTCTCCCACCACCGGTAACCTGCATGCAGTTTTTGTTCATTATAATGTGCTGATTCGGTAATTTTGGTGCAGCAACAGACAGAAAATGCCACAAAATGGTTGCCCACCATGAACTTTAAACTGGCCAAGTTTCATGGAAATCGGTGAGATGGCTTGTGCCGCCCCTGCCTGGTCCTGCATCATGGATGCACTCTTAAACCCCTACAAGAACATCTGTGGAGAGACCTGAAGATGGCAGCTCAGACGCTTCCCATCCAATCAGCTTGAGCCGCCCACGTCCAGGTCACAAAGCCTCAAGAGACTTCGTCAAAAACACTGGAAACTAACTGCTGCCAAAGAGGCTTCAACAAAGTACTGAATAAAGCTCAGAATACTTTGGCAACCAAGAGATTTTAGCTTTGACTTGCAATAAATTAGCACAAAAAAAAGATAACGCTCTGTCTGACTCTTTCATTATCAGTTACTGATGGTAGGTTGATGGGAAAATGGCTGCAGACTTGTTTGTGAGATAACACAATTCCCTGGAGGAGCCTTTGTTGAGCTTTTGTTGTCTTGCCATGTTGCTGTGATTGCTTCAGCTGTTTCCCAACACCAGTGATGTGGCTGGCTGGCTGAGAATACATTCAACAATCTAGAATTTCTTCATCCTGAGCTTTTGCACAAAAAACGAAATAAAAACACTTGGAAGGTCGCACAGCCCAAGCGCTGCACTTGCATGACTGAAACAAGGCCACATGTGTCTAAAATATGAGCGATGCTACTAAACGTCAAATACATTTTGCGCACAAGACGACACTTCAACCTTCATTTTCGTAAAACAGCAGTTTGAAAATGAAAACTAAACGCTGGCGGGACTCACCCACACCGTGCCTCCGGTGGTGCTCCTGCATCACGTCTTTGCGGTAGAACATCTTGTTGCAGATTTCACAAGAGTAGAGCTTCTCGCCGTGCTTCTTCTTGTGCTTGGAGAGGTTGCTGTTGGTGGAGAAGAACCGCGAGCAGATGTCACACTGGAACGTCTTGTCGTCTGGAGATTAAAAAAAGAAAGAAAAACATTTGCAGCGGATTGGATGAGGCGGGAATGTACTCAGAAATGCTTTCCAAACAATTCAGCGGGAAGGTTGTCGCCCTACCTGTCCGGCAGTTGTGGAACTTTAAGGCATTTTCCAGGCGAAAGGATTTCTCACACGTGTTGCATTTATATTTGTACTCCTGGTCCGGCTGTTGGGAGGCACATCAAAGAGCATCATGACATTAACCGGTGAGGCGACGACAACCTCTGAGGCCACAGTTTGGACGATAACTCACCACGTTCTTGCTGTGCTTGTAAGAGATGTGCTGCTTCAGACTCTCCTTGCGGCTGAACAACTTGTCACATTCGTCGCACTTGAACAGTTTATCACCTGCGAGAACAGGTGAGGGGTTCTTCAGTGTTACACATGCTTGGAATTCTAAACAGTTCTATCTGAAAAGTGAGATTTACTCAGATGGAGACGAGGAGCTCTAAAAGCAGCTCATCAGATCCACACGTACCATGAGATCGGATGTGTCTGTTGAGGTTGCTGCTGTTCTGGAAGACCTTGTTGCAGAGGGAGCAGCGGTAAACCCTCTTGTGCTCTCGGGCTTTGTGTCTCTTCAGGACAGAACCGCCGTCTGGAGCGCTCTGCAGGCTGCTGCTCTCTGCTGCTGTTGCTGTTTGTGCTGCTGGCTGCGAGGCCACCGGCTCAGAGCTCTCCACCTGGGGCTTCACATCTGCACACAGCGCCGAGCAAATGTCAAATACAGATCTACAGCAGACGCAACAACAGTGGTGATGAGGCACAGCATTGGTAACAAGGATATAAACAAACCGAGGATAAGACAGGAGATCCTTAGGTTGTGAGAAAAATGATTTGCGACACAGATTATTAGCCTGCTAGCTTAACACAACAGCTACTGATGTACACAAACAAGGAGAATTTTGACCTGATGGCAGCCTGGGTTAAACGGCTATTAAAGCCAATTCTGGTATTAACATCAATAATACAACATAATGCCATGACAGTCCATTTAATATGGAGACATTTTAGTCTTTACCAGAGAACTCCACCATAGTTAGCATGGCGAGAATTAAAGGTGAAATGTGAAAAAGCAAGTATGGAAATGGGTATAATACATTCAATCTTCTTTGAAGCAGAGCTGACAGATAAAAGCAGGATAGTTAAACGTTCCTGGTAACACATACAGCTGTAGTCATTTCATCTTTAAACTCATCAAACTGGAATTCAGGGCGTCCAAATCCGGTGCCACTGATTAAAACTTTTCTGGGGACTGACGGATGGAACGTGTCACATTTAAACTCTGACATCTAGGATCTGTAGTTCTCTCTGGAGCTGAAGTGAGCGCTGTTTTCATGGCAGGAACTCTCTGATGCAACCGCTCAGTAAAAACAAACATGCTGTCTGGAGGCTGTTTGTGCTCACATATACAGTATATTTATATATATATATATAATACAGTATAACACTAACGGAGTAACTCATATCTTTGCTTTTTGGATATGAATTTCTGTCGATTCAATACGACTGTCGAATGTCTGTAGAAGACAGTGAGTCATCCAGCTTCATGGACTGACCCCAAACCGGATGTTTTCGACCTTTTCTTTTTATTTTTTATTTCGCCAGGAAAAGGCTCACTCAGATAAGAATCTCTTTTACAAAAGCATCCTTAGCAGGTTACAGTCATAAACCTGTTCAGATAATGTTTACACAAAGATGAAGAGCCCCTACGGCATCAAAACAGCAAAAACATCTGCCAGAATGGGTCATGACTGAGTTTACAAGTGGCCGAGGCAACTGGAGAGTACGATACAAAACAATCAGGTTTGTAATAAACCAGAGCACAGAGCAAACCTTTTCTCTTCTCCCTCACCTTTGTTTCTGCTTGCAGCGGCTGCAGCTCCGGGCCGGCGCCCCTTCGCTCTCCTCCCTCGGCTCTGGCCTCTCTTGGGTCCGGGCTGAGCTGCAGGGGGGCAGCTCTGCTCCTCATCTGGGCCGACCAGGCTCTCCTCCTGGGGCAGGAGCGGGTCGACGGGAAGCACCGTTGCTGTCTTTGCTTCGTTGAGGTGACTCAGCATGTTGCCTGTGATCAAACATAGAGGAAGCAGAGGAATCAGAGTGAGCAACCATGACACAGCATTTTGTTCAGCTTTAGAGATCTTTCCAAGTGGTGAACAGCCGGGGTGCCGCTCCTGCCGGACTCACTGTGCAGAAAAACTGCTGAAAACTACAATCTGATGCAAGTAAAAGCTTAAAGAAAACAGAAGTGATGGTACAGATAGCTACAAGAAGAGTAAACATTTGTTAGATGTGCTGACTGGAGGATGTGTTGACTGATCTTACCTGCGCTGTTGTCTTCAGCCACTGGGGGCATGTGGACTCCACTTTTCTCTGAGGTCTCTGTTTTAGCAGATGAAGACGACACATCTGATTAAAAGGGAGAAAAACCTTTTGCCGTGGCGCTCTGCCACAGCGTCGGCGCTCTAACGTCTGAATAAATGTACCTGGTGGAGGCAGCGGTGGCAGAAGAGGAGGCTTCAGCACAGGCTTCTCCATCTTCTTGGCATAGAAAGCTCCATACCAGACTCTCAGCTCTGCTCCTGGCAGCACATCCTGGAAGACACACAGCAGAGGCAGGTGTACAGGAGGAGCAATGCAGTGAATGAGCTGCAGGACCAGCAGCAGCAGCAGGTTTAAGGTGGGTGCAGGTACCTGTGAGGTGTTGAAGTAAATGTCATCGTCCTGCTGGTAGGCCGTCAGATTCTGGTGTTTGTGGTCAGTAGCAGGTCGTACCAGCATCATCCAGTTACAGTCCTCCTCACTGTTGGAGTCAAGGCACACCACCACTCCGTCCTTCTGGAAGATCTGCTCATGAGGAGGGAAAAGAAACCAGAAGTTAACATTGATCAATAAAACAAACAATGCAGCACATCATCCAGTCTTCACACGGTTAGGACTCATCAGGCTGCACCTTCAGAGGAAACGCTGCTTCCTTCTCCACGTGTCGGACCCTCTTCGCTTCAAAGGGCCCGAACCGGGTCCTCTTGACCAGCCGGCGCAGGACAAACACGCCCTCCTCGCCATTGGGCGCCTCTCTGATCTCCAGGCTGCTTGGTAGCGACGACCTGATCCACAACAAGAGCAGCGCAGTTTTATTGTGAAAAGACGAGAAAACAGGCATCAGTTCTGTGGTACTTCCT